CTGCTCCAGGTCACATCCTTTCACAAAGAAGTGAGTCATTAGACACATCACTGACCTGTTGCCTTGCATCTAATTTGTGGTGTGTACCTGACTTTAAATCACATCTGTCCTCATCTGCCCAAATGAAAAGAACTTAAGGAGAATATCCTCAGAGGTTTGGATAAATCCAAACAGGTGTGAACATGTCCTGAGGCCCTGACTCAATTCTGGCACATGTCCCGTTCTCTGTAGAAGAGAGTGGGAGTCACAATCCAGACAAGCAGCAGCCAGTCTGGAAGATTCTTCCTCGAGATACATGCACATGGATTGGATTATTTACCCAATCAGAGAAGGGGAAGTGAAATAAATGCATATCATTTCAGTAAACGATTCAACAAAATAAGGGCCCTATAGAAATCACAGCTCTATGTTCTTAGAGCTATGAGAGTCAGATCTTTCCATTGCTCATTAGTAAATTTAGCCCCACGACAGCAACTCCCTCACTCTTGATACATGAACTGAGTGCCAAATTAAATATGCATATTTAATAAGAGGGGAACATGATTACATCCACTTGTTAAATGAGAGTGTGAGGAGAAAGAAATCTAAGAGAGACAGCGAGAGAGAGAGAGAGATCTTCATGGCCTGCAGAGTGTGAAAGAAAAAAGAGAATTCATCTTTATTTTAACACGGCTCTTTGGGAGTAACCCTAGCAGGACTTCCCCCCCTCTCTGTAGAGCTGATTACACACATTCTGGCTTTCTGGGGGTTTGGACGGCAGGTTCCTATAGCAACCACAAAAAAAGCAGACAGTGAGGAGTAGACTTGCTTGCCATGCGCCTTAACATTTTTACCTCTTTTTGAACCATCAAACAGCATTTTGGAACAGGCTATGTGCTGCCAAGTGTCTTTTGCAACTCAAAATATTTCTTTGTCACAATGGAGTCAGACCTTAAAATCCCTCCAGCGCAGTGCTGATGAAAGAAAGATAACTTTTACAGTAGCCCATATCATATCCAATACAATGTAGAGATGTAATCCTGCTTTTATGAATGCATGACAACAAGATCCTTTATTCTGCATAACAACTTTCACCTCTACAACTAATACTTGTATCTTAAATATTGATTTATTGTATTATGCGCTTTATTATATTTCCATTTATACAGTAAAGTATTTTCAACCATTGCCTACATTACATATATTATGTATTTGCATTGTCAATCATTTTTAGACCTATATTTTATATAATGATACCATCATTTAATTTTCATTGAAAAGATAAAAGATAATTTGACACATTTGTTTATTTCAAAAAAACTGAAGAGCAGCTACAATAGCAGCTCTGTGATGTGTAGCAGGTAGAATGGTTACTATGTTCAGCATCTTAGTTTAGAGTGAGAGCGTGCTAACATTTGCTAATTAGCAGTAAACACATCGGAGTGGAGGCTGATGGGAAAGACATCAGTTTTGCACAGATGAATTAAATCTTTGACCTGATGATGGCGCTAGATGAAATGTTGGAGGGAATCAAATGTGTGCACCAATTTTTAAGGCAGTCCATACAACAGTTGTGGGCACCAGCACTGATATCCACTGAGCCAGAGCTGAGGTTATAACTTGATAAAATGTAAAAATGAACACAGTATAAGTTGTGACAGTGAAACTAACTTTAAAGGTTTATTCCCCCAAACTTCCCCTAGTAGCATCCCTCCTATTGGTTTTATTTTACATCTGTCCCTGGAATTTCTGTCACCACAAGAATTTAGTTTGTGGTTCCTAAAGTGTTGAGGAATTACATTTAAATATTCAGCAGCAACATATCATTTTTCCAGAAAACAGTGTCTCTGTTAGTCTGCATAACCCACAGATCCACAGACAGTGTTTGTATGCAACAGCAATTGCAATACTGTGTGAATCAGGTACATCCCTGAATGCAAATGCATTAAATCAGCAGGTAGAAACTGGACCTGCGACCAGCCAGAAGAGCCTGTCCTGAAACCACACGTAGGTTCATAAGGTAATAGGAAATCTATCAGCTGTGTTTTCATTCTAGCTGGAAGTGTGGGAGTTGCGTGTGACTGAGGCCAGAACGGAGAGAGCTGTAGAAGTCTAAAGGACAGTTTTGACACACTTCTACAACCTTTTCCACATCTCTGAAGGGCAGGAATCTCATTGTGGAGATAGTTTTCAGCTGAAGAGAGCAATATATTTCTCTAGGAAGTGAGATATGTGAATCAAATATCACAATATTTACAAGCAATGAGCTGGAAATTGGAGATAGAAGGTTTACCACACGACTGTCATTATATGGAAATCGTAATGCACTCTTTATTTCCTCCTTGGTGTCAAGACCATGACCACAAATCACTCTAATGTGGACAAATTCATTTAAGTCAGAAAACAAAGACAAATCAATATATCCACAGCGAATACAGACAATTAAAAACACACTGCGGTTCCATATAAATCATCATACACAACTGCATCCCACAGAGTCCTTGACCCACATATAGAAAATATTCGGCCCTCAGGGGCCAAAAGATGAACAATGAAGTGGGTCAATAGGGCCACTCCCACACACACCGTGTGTTCTTGTAAGCCAGATGGCCAATTTGGGCTGAGCCGAGAGAAAACTGATCACAACACATTTTGTCCTGTGTCTGATTGAATACAATCACCCTGCACCGTGCAGAATAAACACCCCGCGGCCTCCCGCAGCGCGCAGTCAGCGTGTCAGGTGCAGCACGTTCACTGAGCAAGTACATACACAGAGGTCCACAGAATCGCAGAAGGAAACACTTGCATTGTCAATGTGGCAGTAGAGCTGTGATTTTGTGATGAAGTGTGGCAATTTACTTTTGTGTGTGTGTGTGTGTGTGTGTGTGTGTGTGTGTGTGTGTGCTCACCTTTCTTAAGACTCATAACTTCACTTCAGCCAGAATCCACTTTGAAAAAATAAGACCTAAAAAGAAATTGTCTTAATTAAAATATGACTTTGAATTAGCACAATTAGCATTTAAAAGGTGCAACATACACATGGGTGACAACTGAAGGGACAACAAAACAGCATGAAATGATGTGTTGACCCACCGTGAGCCTCCAGAGCATGAGTCAGTGTTGCCTGGCATTTATTCTCCAAGTCCTTGAACTCTAGAGGATGAACAGAGATAATTACAAACTCATTTGGCATTTTGATGATGGGGGTGTCTCCCATAGGTTGTGCAGTATCTTTATGAAACTCTCTGAAATTTAAACTCAGTTTAATAGTCTTTTCCTAAATACAGCAAGTTTAATGTGTAATATAAACTCATTCTGAGGTCGTTAAGACCCTACAGGGTGATATTGAGTCCGTCACAGAAGCCTATATCAAATATTTAAAAAAAACTAATGATGGATTTGTTGCTTCCCATTGAAGCTGAAAAGCTACAAAGTTGGTCATAGAAACAAATTGGAACACAAAATCCCCCCACTGTGACAGGTTTAAAATATCACATCACCGCTTGTGTTGCCTTGTTGAAAAGCTTTTCTTTACAACATCCTGTTTATTGCCTTTGTTTCCATTTTTTTCAGCACAAAAAAAACAAAACAAAAAAAAGACTAAAAAGACGTCTAAAGCCTCCATTTGCAGCAGCTGTCATTGTTCCTTTCTCTACAGCCATTGTTGTTGAATTCTGGTCACTGCTATTTCCAGTTTCCCCTGGTTACCATTTCCCTTTTAAATCATCATGTGCTCCCACGCTAAGCTGAGGTGTAAACAACCAAATAAAACAAAACAAAGCAGCAATGAGAATACACACATTTGAAACAAAGGCTCTGAATAAATGCAAATGATGCTTCATGTTCTCTCTACCTGTGCTCACTGTGCAGATGAGGTGAAAACAGGATTTGACAGGACAGAAAGAAAAGAACATAGAATAGCATAAATATGAAACAATCCCAGCTACAGTCAACAGAAAAGCAAAAAGCTGCTATTTCTGATCACTACACCAGTGAAAAGGTAATAGTAGCTGCTAAACTAACTGCTACATACGGCCTACTCAGATAAATAAAATAAAATAGCTGCTAACTTTGGGTGCATCAAAGTTATTTGCATTAGGCATGACACAGCCACCATAAAGTGCCCACCTGCACAGACCTCGCTCTCTCTCAGCAGAGAGAGAACAACTGCTTATATAGTTTCTCCACTCAGCAATAAGCCTGGGCAGAACCAAACTTCATTCAGGGGGTCTAAGTCTATCTCATTTACAAAGATTAATTGACAGAAATGTACTTTTATCACTAAACAGCAGCAGTGCAGACTCATAATTTTGTTAACAAACTGTATAATTGCTCCAAATCAGACAAATACTCATTTACACGGTATATTAAACTTATCACGACCTCCACAGTCATGGTATAACCCGTGACATCATTGATGACATCAGCAAGAGCTTAAAAGAGGGAAGTGTTTGGGTGCAACCCCCTTGTGAACTGGAAATGGAGTCCATGGTAAGTGTGGAGGATGAAGGTGCTCAGATTTTTGACCATAAAATTTCAAAGATATGGCTTTAGCTCCTAACTTGAGTATTACAAGGCTAGCTTTAGCTCCTAACTCTTGGAGAAGGCTAGTATGAAGCTAAGCAGTGCAGTGTTACTAACTTTAGCATTAGTTGCTGAAGCTCTCATTTTTGGACAGTACAAGTGTAGCATTAGCTCCTATTTTAAGTTGCTAAAGTGCTAAAAGGTGAGAGAAGGTCCTGCTAGCTGTGCTTCCTGTACGTTTTGCTTTAGTTTTTTCTACTTCAATAAGGGAGGACATGTGTAGTGCTCAATGTGCTTGATAACTATGAAATTCACTGATTTTTATTTTTTCCTTTCAAACTTTCTGTCCCTAAATTACCTTCTTAGATAACCATCCAGTGATTAATGGGGCTCAGTGGCCAACTATTTGATTTGGAGCTGATTTTTCTGACAGTGCTGCCTGATTCTCTTAAACACAGCGTCATGACTGAAGTTACTGATGGCTACGTTGGTCTGGTGTTTTATCTAGTCCTTCTAATTAGCACCAGGGATGTTCATCATGTTCTGTGTAATCATGAATAATGTTTTAATGTTAATGACGATATTAAAAATAATACATTTACATTTAGTTTACATAGACTGAGTTTGAATATAACTTTAATTTGTTTGTCTTTCCCATTTTGCATTTGGTCATATTCTAAAATGTTTGCACACTATGGTTTTTTGGTGATTCTACATTTTTTCTTAATTGTGCCACTTCCTCAAAATAAGCTTAAAAACTTAAATGTCAGTTATATTGCAACACTAAGAGACTGACGTGTAATTTACAGGTGGAGACCAACGTGGTTTTACAAAATGCAGAGACCAATCAACCGTTTCCTGCACAGAGACAACATCATCACAAGGTAAATAAATTGATTAATTGAACAATTCTTCCATGCAGTGTTACTGCAGCTTATTCGTGTGAGTGATGGCTGCTGGAACAAAGCTCTCTTTACACCGTTTTGTTCTGCACTTTGGGACCATGAAACTTCATCCAGAAGGAAGACGCTGAAATTCACTGTTCAGAGGGTTGTCATTTAAAATTGAGCCAGCTTTCCGATGCAACTGTCTGGTGTACAGGGATGTTAGATTAAGTGTAATGCATATATTTTCTTTTTTTCTTTTTTTTTAAGTCAATTACCGACATTTTTCAATTCATGTAATTCTGGCTTTCTACAATAGCAACGCAAAATTTAGCACATTGCAGCTAGAGCATTGCTCACTCCCTATAAATAAAACACCAAACAAAAACCCTAAGTCTAATAAAACTGTACAAACCTAAAGCTGGCAGCTGCAAGATGCCTCAGACTATAAAAACCGTACTGGACAAAGCAACCGCAGGGCTGCTGCTGTCTCACAGCTGTCTGTGATGCTCAGGGAGGGAAACAAAAGTCAACCCTGTCTCATACAAATAAGGAACAGTATTTGCTGGCTGGATTACATTTAGAGGTAACTTTCTTTTAATAGCAGCAGATTTGCAAGGATGTGTGTGTGTATATAGAAAATATCTGTTCGCAATTAACTTTTCCTACATAACGTATTTGCTGTTGCAGTTCAGTTGTATAAAAACATAAAAACTGTACCAATAGTACAACAGAAGAACAATAAACCCACACAAAACAATGGGGTTTGTAGTCAATGTCCAGGACAACAATTTCTTTCAGCTAAACCAATAATAAGAGGTTAAAGGAGGGTGTGTTTGCTTGCAGCAGAATGACTAATACAGAATAAGAATGGACTGTGTGTAATCAAGTCTGCTAAATACTCTCCGATGATCAGTGAGGGTAAAAACCTACACACACTTTTGACCTGCACTTCGAAGGGAAGCGGAATAGTTAACAGCTCTGGGAATACTGCGCAGTTGACTTTTTTATGTGATTGGATGATTGAATGGTTTAAGGTTAATGGTGTTAGCAACTGCACTTGGGGTTGCCACTCAAGTTGCAGGGGGCCAATTTCAAGGGGGCCAGTCTTGACCCTCGGTTATATACCATTTAATGCATAAACAAGAAACAGTATCTCACATCAGTGTGTGAGAAGGTAAAAGGTCTGTGACCGGGTCTGCTGAAGACATTGCTTACATTTTGTAAATACACATTATAAGTGCAGGTTTTCAGCTTGTGAGGAAGAGAAGAAAAAAAAACCCAGAAAAGAGCAGTTAATCTCTTATTTCTTGTCCGTGCAGCTGTAAACAGCTGAAAGGGCTGTCGACATAATGTGGCTGAGGAGGGAGGGAGTCGAAAGCTGCCTTATCAGAGCTGCCTGAAGGCTCCAGCTCTTCAGTTCAGATGCTGTTTTTTTTTTTTTTTTTGATTTGAATTTACCAGGATTACTGAACATGTGTAACTACTCAAGAGACACCGCCATTAAAGCGACACTGTTTATTGTTAGGGAGAAATGTCACAAGGATTTGAACTATAACTGTCTGTATTGTGTGTTTAATGGAGGAGTTGGCTGTGGGAGCAACACTCCCTTTCTGGGTTTATGTTTTTAATCCACTTTAGAGAATTACCTGCAATATTAACAGAAATAAGTGTTAAACCTGCATTAAGTGATATTTTATTGAGAATAAAAAATATCAAAATGACGTCTGTAGTATCAAACCCATCCAACTCTGTAGCCTAAAACCCTTCCCACTGGTCTGTAGCACTATCTTCAGGTTACACTTTATGACCCCATTTCCACCTCGCTATTAACATGTGATCTGTATCTAGATATGTTATCTGGATAATGACATCTTTTATCAGGCCTTTTGCATTTAAAATTGCTGTTAATAAGCTTTCTTGCTATCTGAATTCTGCAAGCACTGCGATGGTATCTCAATATGCAAATTGGTTAGTCAGAGCTAGTGGTCACAGCGAGACAGTCAAAGGCATCTGCAAAGGCTGCTTCTCTGTAGCTTCGCTAATCAGGCCGCAGCTATTTATACTACAAGAAGGTGATCAGAGTCAGTGAAGAAGCTTTTGCTAATTTATCATGTGATCCTCATCTTTTCATAACGGCCTCTAAAGAGTCTCCTAAAGATGCGCAGCTATACTGTATAGGTTGTACTTGTTTTTCCTTTGCAAAAAAAAAAGAAAGCATCAGGGTCAGACTACACCTCCACATCTGTACACAAACAGAAATGTAAAAAAGACGATTTGTGGTTTAGAGGGAATTAGGTGATGTGACTACTTTTTTGACGATGAACCGTTTATCAATCTGCAGAGTATTTCTGTGCAGCTTCTCGAGCTATCACGTGGTTTACCGGATATTGGTTGGTGAGCACAGGTTTTGGTTTATGTCTCTGTAAAGGCACAGTGGTACCAAGCCTGGCATAAGACATCAGGATACGCAGTCAGTGCACCTGGCAGAATTAGCTCCACTATGTAAATCTTCTACTAAAAGTAGTTTTATTCCTGTTTCCCTCTGCTTGATCACAACGGCTTTGTATGACTCATTGGGAATCAAATGTGTTTGTAGGGCGCGCTCATGAGGAGAATGAAAAGCATAGAGAAGGGAGAGACATAATATTGTTTAAATGTGAGAATGGCTGCATATTTTCAGACACATAGTTGTGACGAAAGAAAAAGAGCTGGGAGAGAGAGAAGTCTCGGTTCCTTTCTCACCCCTGCACAGCTGACCCGTCATAGTGTGGCATGAATGATGGATCATAGGTTTCAGAAACTTACAGTAATGGTCGGACCCCCCCCCCCCCCCCCCCCCCCCCCCCCCCCCCCCCCCCCCCCCCCCCCCCCCCCCGGGACTTTCGCGGACAGGCGTATATGTTGCCCTCAAGCTAGACGAACCACATCCTGACTCCTGCTCAGACATGAGGGAGGTATCAACGTTCTCATCTCAACGCTGTTGAACTATTCCTTTAATGTGGAATGTGATTATTTTTTCTGATGGAGTATCGGACAGAAGGTCTTACAGGGAAGATTTGCACATGCCGTAGCATTGCGCACACAAAGGTGGCTGCAGTCTCTCCATTATGTGGGTAGAAAATAGATGGCTCAGTCCTAGATGTCTTGTTAATGTAATCAGAGAAGAATGAATGTGAAGTGTGCTGTCTGCTGGTGATTAAGAGCTGCCCTGACAGAATTTTGATTCACTGCATTTGGGAGCAATTGGCCACCTGGGTCCCTTCGGAGTGCTTTAACCAAACTCTGTATTGTGTCTATATGGAGTCGTGGACCCCGCCCCGTCCCTCCCTCCCTCCCCTTGTGCCCTCAATGAGACACTGATGTGTCTGAGCTGAGGTGTGCCAGAGTGATTCATTAGTTCATTAAGGCGTCTTGTGGCCATGGCAACAATCTTTCCGAGGGGTCAATGGTAACATGACGGCCCCCTTCAGGGCAAACTCTGTCATGAGATCTGAACAATGGCAGGAGGTACAATCAGTTACCCCTCCCCCAAAAACATCCAGAGGTCCCATAACCCATTTATGCCCTCTGCCTTACAAAAACACACACAAACGTGCACATACACACGCCGCCACACAAGCACACACCGAGCTACAACTGTAATCCAATCAGAAAATTCTGGGTAGTATAACCAATGATTCTTTGTATTGTTCCAGTAAAGCCTCCAGCTCAGGAAATTTCACCACTGCTAATGCAGAGTAAAAGCATATATGCTCCCCGGGATCAATTCTGTGCTGTGTAACACTCAGTTATTTGAAGGGAAAAACAAATGCGTAATTCTTAAACATAAAAAAAATCTAATTATTTTTGTTGAATAATGAATACCGTTTTACCTCAATGAACACATCATGCATTTCATATTCATTCATCCAAATTGAAGTCGTTACTAGTCTAATTAAAGCGTCTGCCAAAGTTGTCATTTTGACCTTAGGCCTTTTTTTTTTTTTGTGTTGATGCACCAACTCTATTCCCCACTACAACCATGAAATACATATTGTCCTATATTTCACCCTTTGCATGCCGAGGTTGACTCATGTTTCCACATGTTCCTTAACGTGGAAAACTGGATGAAAAGTTCTGGTTCCTGGATACTCACATATCTATGTGATTCAGCACAAAAGAAAAAGTGACAAAGCAAAGAAATGCATGTGCCACTGCAACATTTATTGAAGCGCAACAACTCATGGCATGCAGTTACTGTTAAATAAGTTTAATTGGACTTTTCCTCTTATCCCATGGCCAGTTTACGCTACTGCTACTCCGACAAGTAGGAGAAGATGTGGCCTAGTCGCAGCAGAAGCCAGCAGCCTTGCGCATATGAGGTTAATTTAGAACAGTGATGAGACCACCACATCATAGGATCTTTTCTCTGAGCTATAATCACTACAGCAGTAAACATGAATGGTGTGGTAATACGCTAATTAAAGGCCCAGCCAGGCAGATTTTAACACTTCTCTTTTCTATCGTCTCTGGCCAAACTTTTAACGTCTTTGTGTGTGATGCACTGTGTTGATACACAGTGAGCTTTGCTTGCATACTTTTTTTTTTTTTTTAAATGCAATTCTATTTTCAGTCTGAATACCAGCTTGGGCAGTAAAAATAGTTAACACACGCAAGAATCCTCAATGATGTCGTTTCTGGCAGAGCAATCCTCCTCTTCACATTTGAAGCCTTATTAGTGTGATTGCTGTAATTTTCTTATAGTTATAGACAAATCTTTTCTTTTTTTCTTTTTCTTTTTTTCCTTGCTCAGCACAAACCACATTTCAAAATCGGGTTCTCAAATTGGGGAGAAATGCCCTTCAAGTGCACTGGCATTTTTTCAGTGAGCGGCGTCCTTTTTTTTTACATTCCCACCCCTTCTTCTGACAGAGTCTGTTCAAACCATCGGCCCTTGACTTCGTCTGGCACCCCTGTGGTGAAACACTCTGCCCCCAATCTGTGTGAGTAGAGCAGCCAGTGTGTGGGCTCACTCCAGGCTGCAGGGAAATGGATGACGACGACGACGACGATGATGATGATGATGATGATGATGATGATGATGATGAACTTGAGTACAATCTCCCGACTACTTCAAAGACTTTTTTTATGCCATTGGACGATTGCCCCTATGTCGTTCAACACAAGGGCTAAAATTGCATTTCATTTCTACTTTGAACTCTTCAAAGCCACTACAGTTATACTTGTGTAGTATTCATGTACACGGCACGCTGCATATACTGTATTTAACCCTTTGTTACTTAACATGACATCCTGGTCTGAAGAATGTACTGCGAGAGGCTGGTGTAACTGATTGACACATTAGCAGTGGTCATCATTATTTTAGGTGATGGTAATTATGTGAGAGGAGCCCTTGGTCTTGCATATAAAGGTTGGGCAGAGAAGGTATCATAAATACACACTGTCAGGCTGTATGATGGGAAATGTAGGACCCAGTGCTCTTGGAGCTCAATTCACAATATTATTACAATTTCTGCAGCATCAATTTTTACCATCTCCCAACTTTATGGAGGTGTGATACTAAACCCTTGGAGTAATCTCCTTAAGTTTATGTGAAGTCCAACTTCTTTACTCCTTTGTCTCTTGTTTTAATAAAGTCAGTAATTGGTTTATCAATTAAAGATAAGTTTGAAGAGTGGGGGGTCTTCATAGCCCACAGCTCGTCATGTAACAGCTTACTGTGACTGTCTCACACTTCTTCATTCGTTCATAATTCCTGTTTTGCATTCACTGGGATGGTGTCTGTTGTTGTTTCCAGTTTCTTTAGAAATAGCCCATTCATTAGTCATGTGAATAAAAACATTGCTATTGTCTTTTGAAGACACGATTCAATAATAGGTTAAAGTTTACATGAAAAATATAAATGACAGCAAATACAAAACATACATTACAACCTTTTCAGAATAGTAAATACTAATGCTAAATCCAAAATACAATACATCATCTCCAACCCATCAATTGATAAAAGGTTGAATCTCAAATTTCAATATATTAGATTTTATCTTCAACCTCATTTCTCAAACAAATAATTTAAAATGAGTTAATAGTTGAAAAGCCAAGTTGACATGCTGATGGATCATTAAAAACTTGGGGGATTGTGGGATTCTTGTGGACTTAGTAAATTGACAGGAAAGTGAATATCATCTCCTCTGACACCTGACCTCCTTCAGGTTTGATTGAATTTGTGTAAACAACATACTTGCATTTTAATCACGTCTGACCATTAAATCTTCAGTGTGACACCATTATTTCTCCTCCCGTGCCCTCTTTCTCTGCACAGCAGCACTGTAGATGGCCAGAATGAAGAGAAAGAAGGAGCAAAACAAAAGTGAGGGGGAGGGATATAACAAAGAGGTGCTGCTGATTTAAAATACAGTAGAAGAAAGATTTGGCAGAGGGGAATCATCTTTTTCTTTTTCTTTTTTCTTCTTTTTTTTTCTGCCTCTCTTCTCCATTACAGGCGAAAAGAAATATTTCAGATGGGGTTTGGGATTACTGCCCACTTCAAAGACTTTTTCACACGAGCTTCTGACTTTCTTTCCCCTCTTATAAAACAGCCTTCATTTCCAAAGGCCAGTGATATTTGTGTGGCCCAAACCTTCATGTCTGTGAGCCAAGATTTAAAGAGACAAGTATAGATTTTTACTGCAGTATAACAGCACCCACAGTCAGCATGACTCCAAAACTTTTGGACATGAGTGCACCAAAACCAGAACTTTTTTTTTTTTTTTCCTTGTTGAATTTGAATAGCATAGAAAAACAAACCTGACACGATGATGATGCTTCATTCTGCTACATGTTATGTTTTCAGGTTGCATTAATATTGAAATATTGATGCTACACCCTTCCCACGTTTAAGTCTGTACCCTAAATAATGCCAATAACAATGAGGATAATGGTACAACTACTTACTACTACTTAAAAAAGAAGGGAAATCTGATACGAGAGGGGGTTTTAAGAAGAGACTGACTTGATGCCTGAGGTCTTCTGGCAACACATTTTAAAATTCAGGAGCTCTGACTGAAAAAGTCCAGTCAAAGCTGAGTTATGAGAGCGCCTCCACAGAGGGGCGGTGGGGGGCTTGAGGGGATATCATGAACATCCGGCATGTTATTCTCTCCTGGCGAAACTCCTCTCTGATGGCAGGTGAAAAGACGTGGCCGACCATACCATCTGTCACGGGCGCAGCACATGCCTGTCCACACCCTGCCCGGCACAACAGCGGAGTTAGCAGTGAAATTACTTCGGTGCAGAGGGAATGGTACTTCAGACTGAAGAGAAAAAGGGAAAGGGGGGAAAAAAAGATTTGAGTAATGAGGCAAGAGTTAGTAACAGCATCAGTCACAGGCTTGCAGACGTACGTCTACGATACAGAGGGACTGCTGCTTCCTACCAACAGTCATCACTACAGGTTAATGACAGCAGCTGTGTTATGTGTATTTCTGTATTCAAAATGAGGCTTTTTAACTTTAATACTACACAACACCTATGTCATCATTTTTGAAAAGGTTTGGCTGTTCTTCTCGTGTTGAACAGCACTTTCAAGTGTTTCGTACCAGCTGTTGCGGTCCATATTAAAATTCTCAAGTATGTTGAAGATGATAGAATAAATGGTGGCACTTTATTTTACAGGTCTGTAAAGTCCAATTTATTTCTCCTGGAGAAGCGTCTTGGAAAGAGATGTATAATTTGACACGAATCACGGGTCAAATAGAGACTGATCAGTTCCAATTATTTCTAAGCTGCCACAACCTCGAGACTTGAATGAGTGATAAATATTCAATTGGAGTCATGGAAATTCATCTGGATGTCAGTAATGAAATTACCACAACAACTAAATGAACTAACTATGATAACAGTCTCAGAGCTTTCTCTTTATTTTTCCTCTTATCAGTATCAAACCACATCTTTCCAGGAAAATTTCAAGAAATTATTTGGAAAAGATGACCTGTAAAATAAACCCGTACCAATGAAATCAATTAGATAGAAAGTATCTTGAGATTTTCAATAAAAATGTTGAATGGTGCAAGGCTTTAAACATCAAAAGGGGCCTGAGCTTAGATTTCTTTAGGAATGTGGTATCTAGGGCATGCTTCAGGGTAAGGAGGAAAGAGCCAGAGCACAGTGAGCTACAGGCATTAACAAAAGAGAAAATGTGTGGGCCAACAGTTGCAAAACCCCTTTTTCATGAGGAGCCTGGTTAGACTCATGTCTCATGAGTAAGGGCTAGATAGGTTTCATATGAGAGATGGTTTCCTCCAGAGTGGAGAGAACTTGGCTCAGATCCAAAACAAATATTCCCTGATATGAGGTGCAAGATTCACTTTTTACACATGTGTGCAGCTGCTGCTGTGCTCTTTTCAGCATGAAGCTCATATTAGGTTCATTTTGATGTGACAAAATGCTGGTTGAGTTATGATTCATATACTGTAGGTCCTAGGTCAGTCTGTCACACTGGAATGTTCGCTAATGCTCAGGAGCAGTGGTTCAAAACTCGGACTGCAGACTTCCTGCAGCGTCCTAAAGAAAGTGGTCACATGGTCACGAAACGATTAAAGGGATTATACAGAAAATTTTAAAGGTCTGTTACTCAAAATTGGGTGACAAAGTAATCTTAACCCAAAGGTCCCTCTTAGTAGCTATTTCTGAGCCCTCAGCTGTATTTCAGTCACATTAGCGAATTGGAATTAACAAAGTTCAGTGCTTTTTTAAAAAGTTTTATCTAACTTTTTTTTTTTTTGCCTTATTGTTGCGAAATACCAGATACTTTCTCCTTTTTCAAGGGTCAAACAAGTTCATTAAATGAAAAAACAAAACACATGAGGACCGTGTGAAACTGTGATGAGGAATCAGAAGTAGAGATTGTTTCATTTTCAGAGGAACCACTGGGTTAAAATACTTTTCACATATTTGATCTCTACATTACTCCAAAAACAACCACACCCGAACAAAAAGAGAACAAACATTTTGTGTGTTTCTCACTTTAATTTAATTTGCCAAATGAAAGACGGGAACGTTTTGAAACTCATCAATCACAGCTGTCTTCAATATAATTAAATTTCAAGGCATCTTTGCTTTACCTATACTTACTAATGATAATCTGCAAAGGGATCAAACTTGCCTCATGTAGCAGCAGGTCACAAATCCAGTTGTTTGGGTGTCTGATAATACATTCACACACTGAAGGAGTAACAGTTGTGATTATCCATGGAGTAGAATTGTTTTTATTTCTGGATGTACAGTCTGGTGACGATTGATAATCGGAAGCGACGCTGTACACGCCTTCTTTTTTTTTTTTACTTCCTGTTATATCACTGCTAGACGAGTCCATCAGACTGTCACAACACTGTGTGTGTTTGGAAGCACTCTCTGTTAAACCTATCGTGGGCTAATAAGTGTTCTGTGACCACAGGATTTGCGTCTCCATGTCTAATGCCCGTGTTGTGTCCACAGCTGTAGGTGCATGTATGACGGGCGCTGGACAGCTGGCTGAACAACTCCAGGAAAGCTTTTCTGCTGCAGCTGTTGGCCAAGGTGACTCTACACTTGGAGATGAAAACACCCACAACCTTGCTCACTGTACTGGAAGGCGGCCAGTGTGTCTAACCTTTGCTCAGTCCTCACTCTGAACACTGTCCGCAGTTTTGAAAGATATGCTAATATTGATATTGTCTTGATTGCTTTTTAGTAAAAAGAATATTAATTAGATTATATTTTTCCTTGAGAGGATGTGTGGGTGTGCCAAGAACGTCAGGAAGTATTAGAAAAACTAACAGTTGCTAAGGTGTTTAATGCTGATAGATCATCAAAAGTGGTTGCTATGGTCTTTACTGGTGGCTTGCTGATTTATAACAGTAGGATACCAGTAGTTATATACAGTAGGATTTCTGATAGCCAAGGGAATTTGTGGTTTATATGTTGGTAGGAGAATTTAGCTGTAACATTTACACACCAACTTTAAGTAAAGTTTATTCATGTTACAGGTTTATGGAGCAGATGTCTCAAAATATGAAATATAAGAGTGATAAATACATAAAGTAGATGTAAAATGAAACAAACTCAAGTCTATACCAGTGTTGCTTGAGCTGCGTTTCACATCACATGTCGAGAGCTCCAAAGTTTAGAAGTCACAACTTCAAAGGCACAGTCTCCTTTTGGTTTAAAGCCCGGAGCGAGGTGCAACCAAAAAGAATCAAGAGATAAGAGACCGGCTTGTGATATAGGTTCATGTGCCGCAGCTGTAGAAGTTGTTGCATCAGTACCAGTAAATCCATGTCAGGAGTGGTGTGGAGACTTAGTGTGCAGCCTAACAAGCAAGCAAACAAACACTAGGCTGCGGTCTCGTTAATCACAGTCAAGTGTCAACACTTTAATCCACAAAAGTGAGAACTGCGTGAGAGTGGTGTCTCACAGTCACAGTAGCTTGTTATTCCCATGTTTTTGCACTGTGATGACCTCTGTTACCTTTAACTTGTACGATTTTCATGTTTTAGGATTTTACTGATCGTATGTTTGTATGCAAACTTTAATCTGTTAGTATGGTTGTACAATATACTCGTGTGAAACATATTGACATAGAAGTACAAAGTAGAATAAAACAGAGAGATACCTCAAAATTGTACTTAAAAACTTTCTTGCTGAAAGTTAAATGAGAAGATCAATAGCCTACCGCTCTTGTGTCGGTATTATTGTTAGCATTAGAAGTGCTGGTACAGGTGGACTTCATTACCTTTGGACAGAGCTAAGCTAACCGCCTGCTGGCTGTAGATATGAGAGTCCCATTTACAAAAGCAATAAGCATATTTCCCAAAATGTCAAACGATTCCTTTAAGCACTAACTGCACAGTTTTTCCACCGGTACGAAATGAAAATACTCATGTTCCAATATCTCTGATGTAGTAGAAAGAGCTGGGCCCGCTACATAAGCAGTCTCAGACGGCGTCCTTCCTTCTCTTCATACATCCATTGTCACACCTGTAAACCAAGCATCTGCAGTCGTTCATAACATTTTGAAGAAAGTCTGCAGCATGTGCTCTCTATAATATTATTACTGCTTTGTGGCATGAGACAAAGGTGGGGAGTCATCTTACTGTGACCTTTACTCTGAGAAAGGATTACTGTATTACTCACAACTTCAGTGGAATCATGTTTTATTTGCAGAATTAAGGCGAGTTAGTTTCCAACATGTTCTGGCCCATTCTGCCCCAGAACAGAAGTAGAATAATACAACTTTAAGAACTTAAAGGCAAGGTTCAAACAGATACTAGAAACTCTCAAATTGAATGACTGGTCTTAATACAGGGCGTAATGTTAAATAATAACTATTAAAGTTTTCCGATGCTGCTGATAGTTTATTTGCATTGGTTATTCCTGAAAACACGATGGTTAAACTGATGCACATGAGAGGCTTTATAGGGATTTTAGATACAAGAAAGTCTGTAAAATTATTTACTCAACAGTAATACTTGTTTTACAATGCTAATGAAACATTTTAGAGAGAATAAACCAGGTTTTCAGGCAATTTGGAGTCCTTCCCTATGTTGGATCCCTGGGTATTTACGTTTACAGTGTGCCCCCCCTCACTACTACCCCCCCTTCAAAATTAAATTTCAGCCTCATGTGTGAAAGGGGCTTATTACCTTCAACCACTATGAAAATGCAAATAAAGTGTCCCTGTTCCGCTGAATTCGGCCAACAGCCCATGTGATTTTTAGGTTAAAAGGTGTGGAGGCACGATAAGGTGCTTATTTAGTCATGACCTTAAAGGACTTCATACCAAGAAGCAATGTATGCTGCGTGAGTTTAGGGGAGGTTAAACGCTGATAAGCTGCTGCTGCTGCAGCACCACACACAGAAAGCCCCACAATAGGAGAACCCCGCCAGACTGAGACTCTAATTGAGCTCCCCCCTCCTCCTCCTCCTCCTCCTCCCCCCTCCTCTCTCCTCTCTCCTCCTCCTCCTCCTCAGTCTCCTCCGGGCTGCTGGCTAACTTCTCGTCGACACACCACTTCAGCTTCAGTTTGTTTTGGACTGGATACGAC